AGCGTGATGAGGTCACTCTAGCTGGAAAGCCCCGTTGCTGGTACAGCTTCAATGTGTAAGCGTAACATACTCAGGCAACAGAGAAGCATCTAGGTTTGTCCATAGTTAACCAGGGCAGGATTCATGGAAGAAACAGCTTTTGAGTTGAAACCTGAAGACTAAGCTGGCGTTGGCCAGGACAAGAGCCAGGGAGTGGGAGGTCATTCCAGGAAGAAGGAAACAGACTTGCAAGGCATAGCGTGAAACCTGTTCTCGGAACTACAGGTATCTGTTCTGCAGAAGCACAAAATGAGGTGGTGCTGAGCACAGGAGGTTCACTGCCCGATGTGCACAAAGTCAACCGGTATCGTCTTCTCTTGGGAAGAGAAGGTTTTGCTGTGCATGTTGGTCAGTGTGGAGCTAGAGGGAAAACTCAAATCTCTCTGATTTGCAGTCTGGGGAAATAGAAGTCAGGGATGGAGCAATTTCTGATTGGCTGGGCCGTGGCAGAACCCGTATATGGGTATGGATTAGTATGATCAGCCGATGTGGTCATGTCAGCTACCTCCATGTCCCACAGCTGTCTGGCTCTATCGTTTCCACTCATTCTCCCACTGCTGGTTCCATGAGGGACGTGATTCTGGTTCTGGGTTGTTTGTAGGTCACAGTCGTCTTTTTGACCCATGTGCGGCGGCTCAGCTGGTCAGTCTCGATCTAGTTGAGACTGAGGCAGACCAGCTTGGTGGGGAAGCCTGTTAAAGACCTAGTGGCCTGACTGTTGTGGCTGGAACCTGTTGTTAAGGAATGGATCAAGGCGGTGTTCAAGGAAGGAACTGGCATCAGATTTCCCCTTTACCAAGTTTCCCCCTGCTGCCCCAAACTCAGAAACCTCTCCCCATTCCTATCCTGAAAGCTCCCTGGTCTCACGCTTTAACAATGGGTCAGCTCATTATTTTAAGTCCCTGCCTTTTTTTTTTTTTTTTTTTAAGATTTGTTTGTTTTGCAAGTCAGAGTTACAGAGAGACAGAGAGAGAGCAAGCGAGCTTCCCTCTGCTGGTTCACTCTCCAGATGGCCCCCAATGGCCAGGGCTGGGTCAAGCCAAAACCAGGAGCCAGGAGCTTCACATGGGTCCCTCACGTGGAAGGCAGGGGCCCAAATGCTTTGGCTATCTTCCACTGCTTTTCCCAGGCCAGTAACAGGGAGCTGGATTGGAAGTGGAGCAGCTGGGACTCAAACTGGCCCCTAGGTGAGATACTGCACAAGCAGCTTTACCCGCTGGCCCCAAGTTCCTGCTTTTTTGGACGTGGTTGCACACATGCAGTGGGAACCCAGAGCAGAGGACGGCACGTCACACAATCTGGGCACGTGCAGAAGGAAACAGCCAGTGGAACTGGAGAAACTAGGGCATCATGGGAACTGTCACACACCAGGACCCTTCCAGAAGCAAAAGGGCCATTGAAGACACAAAACCATCTTAGCAGGCCAGTCTGATTCCAAGTCCCTTCGTTCAGAACTTGCCTTACCAGGTGTTTCTGTACATCAGCTTTCTCCTGCCTAATCCACAGAGCTTTTCCAGTCAGGGACATAGTTTTGACTCATACTCTCCTACCTCTAGCGGCCAGTAAGAAAGCCTTTTTCTCCTCCAAAGAGGCAATGCAGATCCTGCCTGGGTGCAACAGACGGTGCACCTACCTCGTTCATGCAGTAATGGAACAGAGAAACACAGGGCAGACCCCATCAAGGGGGCGACATTTAGGTTTGGGGGCAGGGGTCCTAGGACCTGTTCTCCAGATGCCCGAACCATTATATTTTCCCTCCCCAAGATAAAACTGCCCCCTGGAAAGCTTGCAAAGCACTCAAGAGAAATACCTGCTGAGATCTGTCTGAGGAGTGTTACTCACAGAGCTGTTCATCTTGCCAATCAGATCAATGTGACTTGGGTAATGTGCACGTAGGGTCTGTTCCGCCTCAGCCATTTGGAACAACCTCCCCTAACACTCTGTTCTTATACATTCCTTTTTGTATCTATTCCAAGAAACGACCTTCTTAAAATGAACCAGCAGCCTGTTTCAGCAAACCTGTCTCTGAAAGCGTCAGCATGCAATCATGTTCTAAAAACAGTAATTTCCAACCTGTGAGAAATTTGTCCCCACTTAGCTAAAGCTTGCTATTTGGGGCCAGGCCAACGCATGTTCACTCTGTAAGGATAAGGGACCATTTGCTGTCATGGGATACATAAAATCTGACTACTGTGGAACATCTCCTAAGATTCCTTAAAAGTCGTGAGCCTTGAGTCTCCCAGGTCCAGGTTGCCCATTTTCTGCCCTTGATGTGGGATGGATAGGTAGGTGGCTAGTTTAGGTCTCTGTGGGTTGGTTGCTGCAAGTCCCCACATGTAATTCTATCCTCCGACTTGTCAATCAAAGTGCCCCCTTTCCCAGAATGCAGCTGCTTCATCCAGCACCTGAGGGGGACCCCCATGAAAATATGGACATTAAGCTCCAGGTGGAACTTGTGGTAGTAACATAAAAATCACAGGCGGCCTCATGCTTGTAGAGGACCACCCCTTACCTCCTAAAAGAGGCCAATGTGGGGGAGTTCTCATGCTCTCGCCTCCCTCCCTCCAGCCCATTCGTAATGGGTATTTCTCATAATGGGTATTTCTCTGCGTGGGCAACCCACGTTCAAGTGTGTATGTGTGTTCACTTTCTCACCTTTTGAATAGATTTTGTTATCACTTTGCACTTTATATGTGTCTGCATTCAGAATGCTGGTCTTTGTGTGAGGCAAGAACCTGGAAAAAAAATTAATACACTCAAGCCCACATCACCCTGAGTCAACCTTCCATTAACCTTTTGGCAGAGCCTGATTATTTGTGTACTATCCATTATTCTAGGTCTGGGACAAAGGGAAGGCTTTGAGCCTGGGACATTCTGGGCCTTTTAAATGACCTCTCTAGTTAGCATCTGAATGCTATGCTACATTTTGAGACAATTCGCAGGAATCCCAGACCCAGAACAAACCAAGTAATAGCCACGTACTCATGCACCCCAGACAGACTGCAACCCAGCCATCACACTTTTGGAAAAGGACAGCGGTAACTGTTGCCGACCAATCAGAGGAAGACCAAGAACGCTGCGGACCAACCAGAGACCTGCAAATGAGCTGATCACACGTTGCTCAGCCATGACCCTCTAAGATTCACCATCCTTAATCCCTTGCAGAATCCAGCAACCGGGCCATAGCTATCTCCTTGCTTTGTGCTCTGCAAAAATAAACACTTGCTTTCTTATGCCACCCTGGTGTCAGAGATTGAGGTTAACTTGCAAGGCATGCAAGTTAACCCTGGTTTTATTAGGGGTTCCACAGCCTGGAATTCACATCTCTGGTCTGATAAGGTGTTGTCTCTTTCTCCAGGGTAGGGAGGGGTGCACTCCGAGTTCTTACAGTGAAACATATCATTCATGTAGAAAACTAATGTTTAGAATCCTTTCACGGCTTCCTAACAAGTTAGCTTGGTACCCACTGCAGTTTTGTGTGGGCTCTTTGTGACCTGGGATTTATTTCAAAACAGCAAATACGTCCTCTCCTTTCCTTTTACTGAATGATTGATGTGCAACTTAAGTGCTCATTTACACAGTAGCTTGATGCACTTATTTCAAAATTCCAAGTTTACAGAAAACACCCCCCAAAATATGTGCTGTTGTGGGTCTAACCCTTGAGAGAAGCCACAGGACTCTGAGTATCACAAGACCGGCAACAAAAGGCACCTTAATATATAAGGCGTCTTTGCATTTTCTAAATCAAAAATACTTTTTAAATGTATTTTTAACTGGTTTAGAAAAAGCAACGTCTTTGCCCAGTGCCTTGCACCCCCAAAAACACTTCTTTGGTTATGCAGAGAAACCACAGGGCTCTGAAGTCTCCGAAATGGCTCCGCAAAGCTGTTCTTTTGTAGAAGAATTTACAGCTGCATTAGTAAACAGCAGATGGAGACAAAGGTATCTTTGGGTCTGACACTCGCCCCACCCGGGGTGCCCAGACAGGTGGCTGCAGTCTGGGAGATCCGTTTGCGTAGCAGGACAACCCCTGCTCGTCGGGCAACTCCCGACCTCACACAGCCTGCGCAGCCTCCCTTCCCTTGAGGCCCCAGGCCCCGGCCCCAGGAGCCCGACCACCGCCATCTCGCCCCTCCTACGGGTTCACGCTCGCGTGCCTCCCGCAGGTAGTCCAGCGTGTGTGCGCCCTCTCTTATCTATTGTCAGCACAAGTCACGGGCTGAACGTCTGACCCTTCAGAGGCTCAACTCCGAACCTCCCTGCAAACAACTCTGTGCAATCACCCGCTGAGCGACTAGACCGAACCGCACGCCTACGCCTGGCCGCGAGGACGCTCCCCCACTTCCCCAGCGGTTACTTTGCCTACGCGTCCGCGGCGCTCAACAACCTGCGGCCTAAGCTCGTCCCCCCGGCCAGGGAGTTCCGGCCTGGCGCAAGCCGTGACCTCCAATGGGGGTCCTCCGGGGGTCCAGGCCCAGCCCCGCCGCTCACGTGAGCGAACTCGGCCACGCCCAGAGCCACGCGCCTGCGCAGACTGCGGCTGGGCCGGGCGAGGAGGGATCAAAGCCAGCCCCGCCCCCTCTGTGGCCCCGCCCCCTCCGCGTCTCCAGGTGCGCGTGCGCCGCGGCCCCGCCCCCCGCGCGGCCTCACTCAGTCTTCCCGGGAGAGTCGGGCGGGCGGGCGTCGGTTTAGCGTCGCTCGTCAGCGGCCTCTGAGGCGCGCGCCCGCTCCGGGGCGGTGGGGGGGGGTCGCTTGCCTCTAGGCCTTGACCCCCTCCTCCGCAGCCTCGCGTTGCGGCCATGGCTGGGTGGCGGCGGCGGCGGCCGTTGGAGGCCGGCGTCGGGGCCCGCGGCGCGCTGGCGCTGCTGGCCCTGGCCCTGTGCTCGCCCGGCGCCAGGAGCCGGGAGCTCGAGTGGTACTCAGCCGTGGTGCGCACCGAGTACGTGGACCCGCAGACGAACCTGACGGTGTGGAGCGTGTCGGAGAGCGGCCGCTTCGGCGACAGCTCGCCCAAGGAGGGCGCGCAGGGCCTGGTGGGCGTCCCGCGCGCGCCGGGTGGGGACCTCGAGGGCTGCGCGCCCGACACGCGCTTCGCGCCCGCGCCGGGCGACCGGGGGGCCGCGCCCTGGGTCGCGCTGGTGGCGCGCGGGGGCTGCACCTTCAAGGACAAGGTGCTGGTGGCGGCGCGGAGGAACGCCTCGGCCGTGGTGGTGTACAACAAGGAGCTCTACGGGAACCTCACGGCGCCCATGTCCCACGCGGGTGAGCCGGGACGCGCGCGCGCGGGCGGGCGGGCGGGGGCCGGCGGCCTTCTCATCCTCGGGGGCTGGTTCTGACCCGCAGGCCTCCCAGCGGCCCCGGGCGCGACTCTGGAGGCCTGCGGGTGTCGCGCGCTGGTCCCGGGGAGGAGCCCGCTCTGCTTGGCCCGCGTGGTGCCGTCGGGAGGGACGCACGGTCTCGGCCTTGGGTCGTCGCGGGTGGGGGCAGGTGCGGTCTGGAGGAGGCAGCGGGGAGGATTAAAGGACTTAAAATCGGCCGGAGCAGGATTGCGATGCTGACACGGTGGATTCCCAGCCCTGCCCTGTCTAGTCACCGCTTCCCACACGCCCCGCCAGCGCACGTGACAGCGAGCCTGCTTGGTGACCCCCTGGGTTCTGCACTTCCGTGAAGTGTGTCTGAATATTCTAAATTTCTTTTTTTTGAGTCTGACAACCTGGGTGTGAACTCTTTGAGTCACAAGCGCTGGGCTTAGGCCCCGTCTGTTTTCTCACTTGTTCACCATCGGGTTGTCATACCGGCTCCGGCTGCCGTCTGAGTCCTTGGTAACTTCCAAGTTGGTGATGTTGGTTGAAGAAGAGAACGCGCTGTTTGGTAGTCGGCCGTTCCTCCTCTACGCGCTGTTCCATGTTCAGGCGGGGTAGCTTCAGAGTCTTAATTTTGTGGCCGATCATCTTTGAACCCGAGTTCAAGGTGAGAGAAGCAAGGACCCAGCATCAGGGGTTGAACTGCTGTGACGCCTTGTCCTTAGGCAGGAGTCATGGCTGACTCATTACGAGCTTCCTGTTAGTATTTCTGTTTCTTTTTTTTTAAGTATCTGCTGCTACCTAGTCACATCCTTTTTCCCAGTACGCACTGGTGTTTGTTGTTGTTTGGGCTTCTTGGATGCAAGTTCAGAGCCCAGGGGCAGAATGAGGACAGAAAAGTGGCATCGGCTTCTGGTAGCCAGCTGGAAGGTGAGGAAGTGGGCCCTGTTGGAGGACAGTTGACCCAGGAGGGTTGACTGCACTTGGTGGGGGAAACGGGCAGAAACCAGAGGCAAGGCAGTGTGCGGTAGGAGGTGGGGAGGGGGATCTGGAGCTGGGTAGGAGAGATCTGGATGGAGGAGTCGGGCTTTGAGAAGGTGAGAGGGCAAGATCAGCCCCCGACACAGGGGCAGCCTCCCCTATCCCGACCGGAAGGAGGGCGGTGGGATTGAGCACGGATGTCCAGATGGTGGCATTGGGCTGGATCTCCCGTCGGCGCAGTTACCTCCCTGTCATGTTTGCAGGAGGTGCTCACGGGAAGTCCTGTCAGATGTTACAGAGCATTCCGAACATCTTGTCAGCAGTGTCCCCAAGTGCGGTAGTAGTTCCGGGTCAGTGTGCCGTGCTTTCCCGAGATGGGGCCCTTGTAAGCACTTCTGGATGTATTCAAGATGTGAGCTTTTCTTACAAGCAGCGGGCTCATCAACCTGGTGTTAACCGCTGTGCCAAACACCTACCCCAAGAAAACGTAATGTTCATTTGAAATAATCTTGTCCAGAGCTCCTGTTTCCATTACCCACATCCATTCTGGACTTTTTAGCATGTGGATAATTCTGGTTGAGAGAGAAAGTGAAAACGTTTTTTAAAAAGTGTGTGAAAGTGCCCTGTGTAGACCCTGCTCTGCATAGTGTCTGTCTTAGTCTTGCCCTTTAAGGTTGATGCTCTAACTCCAACCGAGGAGACAGACTAAAAGAATGTAAATGACTGGTCCCGGGATAACAGGGCAAGCTGTGGTCAGGTAATTCTTTGTTATGATAGGCGCTGACCCATCCATTGTAGGATGTTTCGCCTCATTCCCATCCCCCACTTACTACAGTCCAGCGTCACCCCCTCAGCTGTGAAAACCCATGTCTCCAGATACTGCCAAATGTTGTGGACGTTGGGGGGTGGGGGGGGTGTTGAAAAATCAACCAGCATTTGGAACCGCTGACCTTAAGGAGAGATTAGTTTGGTGGCCGGGTGAAGAGACACTGGAAGTAGTGTCCAAATAGAACTATGAGACCTGTACTTTAGTGGGGACTGTAGAGTGACCCTCACAGAACTTGGCCCAGTTAGACACATGGATACAACTGTACCCATGACTGTGGCGGGGTGGGGGGCTGGGGCACACAGAGCAGGTTCCTGTCCTCTGGTTCAGTTCCCAGATGCCCAGGATGCAGGGGTGGGAGGGTGGAAGCAGCTGGGATCTCAGTCTAGGTGGGTGACAGGGACGCAGTTATTTGAGCCATCATCACTACCTCCCAGGGTCTTCATTAGCAGGGAGCTAGAGTCAGGAGCCAGAGCTGGGAATTGAACCCAGATACCCCCAAGTGGTATGCAGGCATCTTAACTGCTAGGCTCCCATATCATGGCTTTTCTGAAAATGGAATTAAGAAGTTACAAGAGGAGCCGGCTTTAACATCCTTGAGTTTGAATTGACTGTGGAGAGCCTGGAAGGTAGCTTAGACTTAGGCTTCCTGTTCCTCCTCTGGCTGGTGGCAGGAAAATCCACTGTTTAGCATCCTGGTGTTCCTGTGTCCTGTGTGACTTTTTTTTTTTTTTTTTTAAGATTGAGAGAGAGGCCTTCCATTCTGGTTCACTCCCCAATTGGCTGCAATGGCCAGAGCTGTGCCAATCAGCAGCCAGGAACCCAGGAGCCAGGAGCTTCTTCCAGGTCTCCCACGTGGGTGCAGGGACCCAAGGACTTGGGCCATCTTCCACTGCTTTCCCAGGCCACAGCAGAGATCTAGGTCAGAAGTAGAGCAGCCAGGACTTGAACCAGCCCCCATATGGGATGCTGGCACTGCAGGCAGTGGCTTCACCCGCTACAGCGCCGGCCCCGCTGTATGACACTTTCCTGTGAAATAGGTACAGGTGGTCTGCCTGCAAAGTGAATGCTGGTGATCTCTTTCCAAGTCACTCTGAGAATTTCTCTAGGTTTTTCTAAAACCCATTGCATGTCTATACTGGAACCTAGTACAGTTTGTTTGTTTTGAATCTGTATTATTGTGGCTATAAAAAATTAACTTAAATATATATTTAAAGAAAACACTACTGAACACGTGTGAGCAGTGTTAAGCTGATGCCCAAAGTTAACTCTGTTTACTTGAGCTGCTGATAGCCAGCATCCAGAAGGCTGTTAACACCTGCTTGCCCTTGAGGAGCTTATGGTTTAGTAGGAGGGATAAACAGAACTTCCCGGACACAGTGACTTGGGCCTCTGGGAGAGATGGTGGCTGGGCACAGGGCATGGCAAGCACGGGTTGTGTTGTTATGCCGAGGAGTCTCCCAGGAAGCTGTACCTGTCGAGGCCATCGCCCAGCCATGGTCAGACCCTCAACTCCTTCCTTCTCATTCCAGGCAGAAAAAGGGATATCTGATATTGCTGTGGCCACATCTGTTGCTACTTTACTAATGTAGATAGTTGTCAGTTTCTTTTTGCAAAAGGACAGCTTTTTAGAGCCATTCCTGTATCTGCAAGAGCCTGCTGTTTCTTGAATAACCCACTTGAAATAAGTCAAAGAAAGGCCTTCGGGGTGAGTGTTTACCCTCCCACAGAAGCGTAAAGAAAGGGCATCTGATGCAAGTGCTGTGGAAGTTAGGTGGAAGTGGCTCACAGTCAGATTGTTACAGTGAGTGTTGGCCTTGCCGAGGATATTGTTGGTTAGTAAAGAGGATGGTCCTCTAGCTGAAATCTCACATGGCCTCTCAGTTGTCACTTTGATTCCTTTGAAAGTTAGTCTGTGCCAGGGACTTAGAAAGTTCAGAGCTGTATTTGGGGAAAAAGCCAGCGTTGGGATGGGGGAGGGAAGTCTACAAAGATGTATAAGAAATCTGATTTTTATGAGTGAATAATAAAGTCCCTGCTAATGCCTGGGAAAGCAGTGGACGATGGCCCGATTGCTTGGACCCCTGCCATCCATAAGTTCCTGGCTCCTGACTTTGGCCTGGCTCAGCCCTGGCCATTGTGGCTATCTGGGGAGTGAACCAGGGGATGGAATATCTCTCTCTCTCTCTCTCTCTCTCTCTCTCTCTCTGTGACTTTTTTTTTTTTAAATCCACGTGGTGTATTTTTTTTTTTTTTAATTTATTTGAGAGAGTTAGGCAGTGATAGAGACAGAAAGGTCTTCCTTCCATTAGTTCACCCCCCAAATGGCCACCACAGCCAGAGCTATGCCGATTGGAAGCCAGGAGCCAGGTACTTCTTCCCGGTCTCAGACGTGGGTACAGGCATCCAAGCACTTGGGCCATCATCCTCCACTGCCTTCCTGGGCCACAGCAGAGAGCTGGACTGGAAGTGGAGCAACCGGGACTAGAACCTGGCGCCCATATGGGATGCTGGTGCCACAGGCAGAGGATTAACCAAGTGAGCCACGGCGCTGACCCCTCTAACTGTGACTTTTAAAGGAAATAAATACATCTTTTTTAAAAATCGACAAAGGAAGGGGCCGGTGTTGTGGCACAGAAGTTTAAGCTGCTATCTTTGACGACAGCATCCCACATGAGCACCAGTACAGATCCCAGCTGCTCTCCTGACCCAGCTCCCTGCTAATGTGCCTGGGAAATCAGCTGAAAATGACCCAGTACTTGGGCCCTTGCCACCCATATGGGAGACCTGGATGGAAGTCCAGGTTCCTGGCTTTGGCCTGGCTTAGCCTCAGCTGTTGCAGCCATTAGGGGAGTGGAAAATACTTCTCTCTCTCTCTTTCTCACTCTCTCACTCTCACCCTGCCTTTAAAATAAATAAATCTTTTTTAAAAAATCAATGAGTAAGTTGTGTGTAGTGTGCAATAGAATACAGGATGTTCTGGGGGGAGGAAATAG